GCATTTTTGCATGGTGAATTGGACAAAATGATTTATATGACCCAGCCTGAGGGCTTTGTGGATCCCAAGAGAAGTGAGCATGTCTGTTTGCTTAGGATGGCATTGTATGGCCTGAAGCAATCCCCTAGGCAGTGGAACATCAAATTTGATAAATGCATGATATCTTTGAAGTTCCAAAAATCTGTTTGTGATCATTGTCTATATTTCAAGAATACTTCTGTTGTGCCTGTATTTTTGTTACTCTATGTGGATGACATGCTGATAATTAGTCCTTCTCTGAATGTTATTAAAGATGTGCAAAAATGCCTTTGTGCGAATTTTGCCATGAAAGACCTAGGTGATGCCAAGAGGATCCTAGGCATAAACATTGTTAGGGATAGGAGTAAGCGTACTCTTACTTTGAATCAGATTTCTTACATAGAAAATGTTTTGAGTAAATTCAATATCTTATCTGCTTGTACTGTTAATGTCCCTATGGCATCTCACTTTGTGTTAAGTAAGGACCAGTCTCCCAAGACTACTCCTGAAATTGAGAAAATGAAATTTGTGCCCTATTCCAGCGCAATAGGGCCGGTTATGTATCTTATGGGTAGCACTAGACCTGATATTGCATATGCGGTTAGTTGCTTGAGTAGATATATGTCCAACCCTGGTTTGCCCCATTGGAATGCTCTTAAGTGGTTGCTTAGATATCTGATTTCTACTGTGAAGCATGGATTAATTTTCTCTAAATATGATACTGGTATTGAATTGATTGGTTATGTTGATTCTAACTATGCAAATGATAGAGATAACAGGAAGTCAACCACTTCTTATGTTTTTACTTTGTATGGCTCTTGCATTAGTTGGATGTCTCAACTACAGCCTATTGTGGCCCTTTCTACCACTAAGTCTGAGTATGTTGCAGCCACAGAAGCGTTGAAGGAAGCCATCTGGCTCAAACGCCTTGTCTCTGAAATTAGGTTTCTCAAAAAGGGAGTTACCATTTTCTCGGATAGCCAATTGGCTATCCAACTTTGCAAAAATCCTGTATTTCATGATAGAACTAAACATATTGATGTTAGGTTCCATTTCATACGTGATATTGTTGATGCAGGTGGAGTCAAGCTGTGCAAGATCCCGTCCGAGTTTAACCCCGCGAATATGGGTACCAAGTGTCTTTCTGCTGAGAAGCACTTGTCCTGTAAACGCGTGTTAAACTTTGACTGTGGATAACTGTGGGTTGCGTAATAAAGTGTTTGCCCGTTTTGTCTTTTTGATATTCCAGGTGACTCGGGATGATGAGTCTTGTCACAACTTTGTATTGTTACTCTACACCACCTAGGACCAATAAGGTGGAGAATGTTGGGGGTATTGGTCCTACCAAGACCTCCCTTCCACTTTATTTGCTGAGGCTTGCACCCTATTGTTTTACTCCCACTTTGGTACCTTGGTATACTATCTGATCAATAATATACCTGTTTGAGTGTTGGCTCACCCACTTGGCTGGCCCCTCCTATGCTTATGTCTGCTGCACTCCTTGTCTAGGTAACATGTGAGGCTTTTTTGTATTGCATCACCTGTGACCCTCTTGTCTTGGTCTTACCCGTGACTTTCTATCTGTCAGCTAGCCTACTATATAGAAGCCTTGCTTCTACCCTTGTTGAGCAGCCTGCGAGAGTAACACTTCCAGAGAGCAAAGCTCACTTTTTTTTTTGGAACAGAGAATTTTATTGATAAAAGTCAAAAGTACAAATCGGAAAGGAAATAAAAGAAACAAAGTAAAAAGTACAGAGAAAATAAAGCCTAAAATTACACCCAAGGAAATTCTCTAGACTGGGACCTAGTCCTCATGTTGTGCCGCCTCTTATTCTTTTGAGATTTCCTGTAAATTTTGATTTGCGTGTTCAAGTTGTCCGTCGGCAGGCAATTTTCTGAAGTAACAAATTTGGACTTTTTGCATATCGTTCTGTTGAATTTTGATTTCACGATTTCTTCCGGAGTTGAAATAGGGGGACGGCGATCACTTTCAGTTGCATGTCCCAGGAAGTCGTCCATGAAAAAAGAGTCGTCTGACTGGTAAAAGTTGTCTGAAGCATCTGAGTAAGCCTGAACAAGTTTGTGTTGTTCCACTGGAGTAGGAGACCATTCTTTCTCTGAGTATGCTCCTTGAATTTGGCAATCAAAAATAAGTTTGGAAATTGATGTTGGCTCTTCTGTGATTGGCGTGTTTTCTAGTAACTGGTGCATAGGTTCCTCCTGTACTACTTCAGAGACTCCCACAAAATTAGAAAAGACCGCCAGGAATTGGAGCAATATAGATTTTTGTGGGCCCACAGGAATTAAAATGAAAGTTCCTTTATCTTTGGCAATCTTGATGATGCTACCGGCTTTATTAAAATTTGAAGAGACCGAGATAGACCCAAATCTTCTTAGATGCTTGTAGGTAAGGTCGGTTCCTGTCAGCTGATAAATATAGCGGATGATTAGAGGAGTCAATTCAAGATTGAAACTGATTTTGTGCAACTGAGATCTCTTGATTTCCAAAATTGAAATTTCCCTGTTTCTGATTCCAAACTTAAAGGTCTTTGATTCTAATTTGATAGAGTCAAATCCTTCTTCTCCAAAGAAGTGAAATTTTTCGGAATCCTGTGTAATGGCAGCAGATTCTGATCTGAGAATATCCGTATGGGAGGTAATAATATTATGAAGAGGATAATTTCCTGCGTGTGATAGGAGTTCCGCAGGGGCCCAAGTTGTTTTGCCCTTGTCACCCCCGTAGAATGTCAGCCCATGTTCTGGATGAGGTACTTGGGTCAAGCCCTATCACGTTAGCTGTTCCCGGTTTGGTAGTATTAGACTGAACCTGACAATCCAGACTGTCGTCCTTCGTTAATGGACCTACCGACTTAGCCTTATCAGCTTCTCCGTTTCCGGCTAAGATTCCCGGCGCAGGTGACAAAATCGGCGAGACTGGTTCAGTGACAGACTTCTCCATGCCTTTGGTTGCCCTGTTTGGCTGTTTCTTTCCGAGCGCCTCTTCAGGCTGAGATCGATTTTGAATCTCAGGTCCGCGTTGTACCCCAAAACGTCGGTAGTTCGCATCGGCTCTGTGGCTGAAGGTTTTTTTGATTCGATGAGTCTGTTCTTTATTAATATACTGTTGTGTGGGTGGGGAATAAAAGGCATAGTCTTCATCAGATTCAAGTAAAATGAAACGATTTGGATTTTCAACTGACCGAGGTGAATCCGAGAAGTGGTGGGAGTGTGTGATTCGTTGCCTGGGATGGTGACTCGAGCGCCTTCGTCTGTGGACGGTGCTCCAATAGCCGTCCGTTTCTTCTCCGTAGGAGGTGCGGAGGGGAAGAAGACGAGTGACATCACTCGATTGAGTTCTGGGGTGTACATCACTCGGAAATCTGACCGGTCTTTCCCCCCGGTTGAAGTCAGGGGTCGGGATTATTTCCGGATGATAGGGGTGAAGATAGGGGTTAGTGTTGAAACGAATACCTCTGTGCGATTCAATTATGCTTCTTCTGTAGTTGTTGTCGTGAGTGTTGTAACAGGGACTAGCATTCCAGTGCGTATGAGGGCTGCTGTAGTGAGTTGGGAGGGACGGGCGTGTGTAATCCTGAATCTTTTGAGAAGCTTTCTGGTAGGTGAAGTAGCAGTCTTCCCTGTCACAGGTCCTCTTCCCCTTGCGGTTCCAATAGCTAGAGAAGTTTCCTAGGGATTGGTTTTGAATGTAGGACCTTTGTCCATGGTTGAAGTGATACGGAGTTCGGCGTTGTTCCTGCCGGAATTCCATTTCCGGAAGTCAAAAGACTGGAAGTGTAGAGAGAAGGAGAAGTTTCTCTTTCTTCATTATGCTTTGTGTGAGAGTGTAGAGAGGTCTTAGTTGAGAGTAAAATATTGGTGTGCTATAGCTTCCTCCTAGTGTGGTGTGTGAGAGTGTGTGTAGATAGACCTGAGCCGAAGACGGAAGAAAACGATCCTCACAGTGGCCATGTGGGTTACCCTGTATCAGGCCCAGTCACCCACTGCATCTCCGGTTTTACAGGTTGACCAACCCGGGTTGCGTCGAGTCTTATGACAAAAATGTGTTTACTGTCAACTTAAATTCCAAATCTTAAATAATTAGATGGTCCTACCTTTGGTTCCTCATATGTTTGATTACTAGATAACCTAAGTTTTGAAAGATTCGTTTTACCCAAATAGGCATTCACTGTAATGTTTTTCGTTTTTACAATATAGCCATAGAACTTCAGAATTAAAATCTTCTAGCGGCAGCACCTTGCTTGAAAAAATAACAATCTGTTGCGTATATTATGTGACCAGCCAGACAGCTATTAGATATCTCATTCAAAATAACTTTACCTTTTCTTCTCAAATACTACCATCCTTAATTTCTTTACCAGATGGTCCAGATATACAAAATATGCCTACAATTAGAATCAGTATTTTTACCATCCTTCAATATTTTCCAACACGAAGTATGATATTAAAATTTTGGAATAACTAGAACAACTTACAAAAAAAGGGACACCAGCCCCACATTGCTCACACTTGTATCCCTTCTCATTAAAAAATGAAACATGGAATATTGCTTAAATATTAAATACGTGGATTATATATATGCTTTCTAAGTTTCTATAAGAACACTTTAACCAATTCTTGTGTTTATTTAGCATATATTAGGAGATAGATACACCAAAAACTTTCAATCCTTAAGTCAGAACTCATACCTCATATTAGTTTCCTGTAGAGGGTTGGGATTAGACTATAATCGAAGGGAGCAAGTTCTGGAAGACAAGAGGGTATCTTAATCATACCGTCATACGTTTCAATTCTTCAAGGCTTTGGTTATTTTTTTTCTTACTTTATACCCTGGTAAATGTTTTCATAAACCTTAGTTTTTTTACAATACTCACTTTGACATTTTTAATAAATGAACCAATAGATTGTTTATAACTTCAAGCCATTCCACATCACAAAATATATACAGAGTATATAAAAAGAAGCCTTTTACTATGATTTCCATGAAAGTATATTAAGCATATCACAAGTAATGCAAGGAATCAAGGCGCTATATGGAAGTGAAAGGGATAGAAAGAGGAGAAAGTAATCACAGGATTCACAGCTCACATTTGCAAAAACACACTAATCATATTCTAAAAGAAAAATGCAAGAAAGTCTTAATATCAAACAAATCAGATTCATTAACTAACATAATAATCACTCAACCAGCCTACTTAAGAACATATGCGGAGAGGGAAGAAGGTTCTAAGTAAGGGCACAATGTTAGAGTATAAGAATCATATCCAACCTCATACGTGGTAACCATACGACCATGATATCTTATGGGTTCGATCGATCGGTCAAGGTCATACAGAAATATGTCCCCTAGTTCAACCCTGAGAATGAGGGCAAGAGAAGTCTTCTTCTTCTTATTAGCAGGAAAAAAGGCATCCATGAAAATGGACCTTGCTCTGGTCTTCCCCCATGTATCCTTGATGGTCCTCCGCCTCGTCCTTGATGACACTAAGGCGATATCGTTCCAAACGGAATCCACACTCATATGGTACATCAACACCCACTCATTACGGGGTATGGTAGTCGGTCTCACACAGTTAACTCCATCTTCTGCAGACTTTGGGAGCATGAAAACCTCCATCAAATTGGAATCCAATGTGGCGAACCATAAAATGTCTCCGTCCTCAATTGTTGACCTTGTAAAAGCGTGAGTTTGGAAATAATTAATATAACGATCCTGAGGGGCAACAATCATCTGGACAGTATTTATACGGGGACGGTAAAGTGCCATTTTGTCCCTGTACCAGTGGAAAATACCATTCATCACTAAAGGATGCCCCGAAATAGGATATGTGTAGGGTTTAGCTTGGAGCCTTACAGAGGGTTTGGAAGCCCAGGCGCCTGTCTCAGAGGAGTAAATCTGGATCCCTATGAAAGTAGGATGGCCTTGTTCATATCCGTAACCTGTTCGGACGACTATGTACTTGGCCATCAGTTTATTTTCATTCTCCTCGCACATCAACCCGATGGATGCGCACCTATACTGCAGTGGTGCCGGCAGCAACGAGACAAATTTTCCAGTAATAAGATTCAGGACATAGTAATCTTCAATGTCATCATGGTTACAATTGCGGCAGAGGATCAGCCCACCTGACGAATTTATGAACTCGCAATCGTCTAATTTAAGAGACTGACGCTTGATTTCGCTATTACCAGGAAGATCAAGAGGAAGTAGGTTCGTCGCGGCTGGTTTGCGTTTCTTTGATTTGGGGCGATAATAATAAGGGCTAGACTGTGTTCTCTGGAATAAGGCCAACAAAGCTGGACCGCCGTGCCGCCGCAGCCTGGTGTCGTATCTCTCGATAAAAAAGGGACCGGAGATCAGTTCGTTCCAGGTCTTACACACGACCCTGAATCTATAGATCGATTTGGGTGGCAAACGGAGTAGAATTTCCATCATTATTTGTTCATCCATGGGGCTTCCAGATCAAAAGGCCGGCTTAATTCTTCTCCTTGTTGCTTGGTAATACGTATAATGTCCTTAGTTATACGAAGCTGGCCTCTCGGTTCTGAGGAAAGGATGAAAACACCGGCTTTTTTGGAGTTCAATTTAGGGTTCAAAATCGCGGGAGTAGGAAGTTGGGTTTCCGACGGGAGTTAGGCTAAAATAATATTTCTCCCGTTCCATAATTCTTGCAACATTATGATTTTTACACTATTCACAGATCTTACTTTGACCATGATTTTCTATTAATATACATAATCAAATTATTACGTATAAAATGTTATTGAACTCTTATCAATGTGAATTTCCAAAATATCAACTTTTTATAATGTTTACTAATACATAATTAAATATAATTACACTCAAAGTTGTGCATTGGCAAACGTGAAAGTCAAACTGTTACAAGAATTATGGAACGGAGGATAGTACAAACCAGTTGTCTCAATTGGCAATTCCAACTCAATTATTTTTTTATTAAAAAATGTTGGAAAGTATTTTTGGAAAGGCGGGAATAATGTGGGTTGGGAAAAAGAATAAAAGAATGACTCAAATAGGTAGGGCTGAGCAAGAACCGACCCAACCCGACAAAACCGAAATTTTTTTCGGATATTATCCGATTGGGTACGGATATTCGACCCGCCAAACCGAACCCGAAATTTGGGCCAGCCTTTGGGCGGTTAAAGGGCTGCGGGTAGGGTTTATAAAACCCAGACCCGATCCGCCCGAAAACCCGAAACCCCAAAACGACGTCGTTTTGTATTTTATATATACATACACACTTATACTTCTGACTTCGGCCAAACCCTATCCGCCTCTTTCTTCGATCTGTCTTCTACTCTTCGCTCTATCCTCTCTCTTCTCATCCTCTGTGACTGTGGCTCTGTGAGTTCTGCCTTCAGTTCTCTAGACCTTACTCAGTTATTCTCCTTTGTCCTCTCTCAGCCTCTCGTACTTTGATTTACTTTGGTATTTTGGTGGAAGCTCTGTGTGTGTCCCGTGTCCGCACACAGAAAGACTGAAACCCTAATCGCCTAATCGGTGCAAATCGTTCTTCGCTCGTTCGAAACCTATTTGGTGGAAGTTCTTAACCTAACTCCCTAAGTCCTAATTCTAGTCTCTGAGGTAGTGCTGGACTCGGGCCGGGCGGCCCGGCCCGGAACCGGCCCGGCCCGGTTACTGTTAGGCCCGGCCCGGCCCGGGGCCCGGTGGGTCCACCGGTTCGGTTCGGCCCGGCCCGGCCCGGCTGCTGGGCGGTTCGGGCCCGGGCCCAGGTTTTGGTGAACCGGCCCGGCCGGTTCGGGCCCGGTCCGGGCCGGATTTTAATTTTTTTTTTTTTTTTTTTGAAATTTTTTTAAGTTTTAGGTTGGATTAGGTATTTTGGGCCATTTGAGGTGGTTTGGGATGGTTTGGGGTTGAGGGGGAGGGGTAGGGGATTAAATAGGAGACCAAAAAAAAAAAAAAAAATTAAGTGGGCCGGTTCGGCCCGGCCCGGCCCGGCCCGGTTTGGCCCGGAACCGGAACCGGAACCGCCCACCGGCGGTTCGGGCCCGGGCCCTAGTTTTCTGGCCCGAGGCCCGGCCGGGCCCAGGCCCGAACCGGGCCCGAACCGGCCCGAGTCCAGCCATACTCTGAGGTATTTATATCTACGGTTTTGTTGTGAATTTGTTATGTATTTATGTGTTGATAAATTGATAGTATGAATGTATGATGATGTTGATAATGTAATTCATGCTTAATACCCTTATACATTTGACGAGTGATAATGAATCTATGATGATGTTGATGTTGATGTTGATGTGTTAATGCTGAATAATATATGAATGTATGCTCAGTTTCTCCTCACTGACTAAGTGTTAAAAAATGATTTTCTGAGTACTAAACTATGCATATTTGAAATGTGAACTCTGACTCTGTGAGAGTCTGAGTATTGAGAATTCTTAAACCTGTATGCCTAATGTTTGAATGATGATGGAGCCTGAGTTTCATCTAAATTCTTAAAGTTGTATAATCGTATGCCAATATCATTTATTATTATGCATATGTGAATGATGATGGACTGAGGGTTGTCTTAAATTCTGAAACCTGTATGCCTAATGTTTGATTATGCATATCACTATATCAACATATGTGATAATGTGAATAATGATGTAATGAGGCTTGTTCTTAATTCTTAAAACTGTTTGCCTAAGGTATGAGTATGCATATGTGAATGATGACGAATGATGGAGCCTGAGGGTTGTTCTGAATTCTATAAGTTGTATGCCTAATGTTTGATTGTGCATATCAGCATATGTGAATGATGATGAACTAAGGCTTGTTCTGAATTTTTAAAATTGTTTGCCTAATGTATGATTAATTCATTATGCATATGTGAATGATGATGAATGATGGAGCCTGAGGGTTGTTCTGAATTCTTAAAGCTGTATGCCTAATGTCCGATTAGGCATATGTGAATGATGATGGACTGAGGGTTGTTCTGAATTCTTAAAGCTGTATGCCTAATATTTGATTATGCATATGTGAATGATGATGAATGATGGCTTGTTCTGAATTCTTAAAGTTGTATACTTGTATGCCTAATATTTGATTATGCATATGTCAATACTGATGGAGCCTCAATGCCTTATGTTGCAATATGCATATGAGAAAGGTATATGAGCTATGTTTATATGTGCATACATGAATGATGATGGAGGCATGGAGCCTCAGGCTTAGCCCTGTTGTGTATTCTGAAAGGTAAAGTGTGGAAGGTAAACAGTTGAAGCCTCTATTATTTCTTGCATATAAAAGAAGCTACCTTTGTGACTCTAACACTCAAAGGAGTAGTAAGAGTCTATTGGTTCTTCTAAGTCTGTAGGGAAGAATTAAGCCTACTGCTTAACGTCTTCTGTAAATCAGCAAGCTGATTGTTCCAGACTATATGTTTATGAACTTAAAGAATAAAATTTGACTCTCATCCATCCGTGTTGAAAAAATTGTGAAAGTTTAAGGGTGGAAGCCTGATAAGTCCATTTTTGTACTTATTTTTCTTATCAAAATTACGCGATTTTTGATTGAAAATAGAAAGAAAAGGCACGTTTTAGATATTTTGGTTCAAGTTTCATTAAATCAGGTGAAAATCACATTCATAATATGTTTGCCGGGATTTCGGGTCAATTGAGCACAAAATGAGTCAATTTGAGTAACAAATGAATTCATACCGGGAGAAGCAAGCATTATTTCAAAGTGATCCAGAAGACAACCTTGAAGAGCAGGAAACACAGCATTTGCCAGACAAATTTAGCAGAAGGCGCCCATAAAGACCCCCAATCTGGCCGCCTGCTTGGCCGCCTTTGAAAAATCAGAAATCAACCGTTGACTTTGACCCGAACTAGCAGAAGGCGCCCAAAAAGGCCCCCAATCTGGCCGCCTGCTTGGCCGCCTTTGAAAAATCAGAAGTCAACCGTTGACTTTGACCCGAACCAGCAGAAGACGGAAGGCTGCCGACGGAGGACGGAGGGCGGCCGCCCTCAGTGGCCGCCTGCGGCACAACCGGCCGGTGCGATTCGACGGCAGGCGGCCAGACAGAAACGGCAGGCGGCCGCCTTCTGGACCGGCGCACGTCGGTTTGCCGGCGACAAGACGGAGGGCGGCCAAAGCTGGAGGAAAGGCGGCCGCCTAACTTGGTGCCTTCGGAAAAATTTGGGCTATAAATACCAGGCTTTTTCCCCATCTCAAACACACCAATTTCAAGCCCAAATCAGATCAAAAAGGGCGTCTTCTTCCTCCTCAAAGCTCGGATTTCCACCATTGTTGCACCTTTAGCTTCAATCTTTCATATCTTTCTCATTTTATCTCCGAATTGTGAGTTCTTTATATGTATTTTCATCCTTTCAATGAGTAGAATCTGAATCTGTACTTAGTTGTTTCTATCTGTGCTTCTAAAATTTTCAGAAAATTATTCAACTATTTCGCATTTTCTTCTTAAATTTGAATAAAATAGTTGTTGACATTACATTCATTCCAATTAATTATATAGTTGTTTACTAGCCTCAATGTAGTTATTTATCAAAATAAAGTTAATTTTTACGAAGTAGAAGTAAATTTTAATTAATTCCGGCATTTAGTTGTTATTATTGCATAAATTAAATTAAATACTCAAAAAAGGCAAAAAAATAGTTTCTCTCCTAATTCCAGTTTAATTCACAGTAATATCACTCCTAGTAGTCAATATAAAATTTAGAACGAATTTAGAATATTTGTAGTTGCTTTTTTTGTATTTTCTAGTTAATATTGGGAAAATTATCAATTAGTTGTTAAAATTGGATTTTAGGTTATAAAATTCGGGAAAAATTCCAGAAAATTATATTTTAGTTCCTATAAGTTTATTGTTCCAGAATATAAGCTTTGTTTAAATTTTAGCTATCATCCATGTGTAATTCCTTGTTAATGTTGAATATATTCATTATATTGTTAATTGAAAAAATGATGTTTATTAGCTAAATTTGTTTTGGGCATGAATTGACTAAAGGAATATGGATTGACTTGTTGACCGAAAATTAGGGATTAAAATTAATAATTTGGACTAGTTGTTTGAAATGATGAAATAGTAATTAATAATTGTTAGCCATATTCATTAATTAAATTCTTGGAAAATTGTTTCTAACTTGTCTATGAGATTAGAAAATAATTTAAGCCAACCATATTCAAGCACATTAATAAGGCCTAGAAATAGGATAATTTAATGAAAGGGATTTACATCTTGTCTATGAGAGATAAATTCAATTGCTAAAATAAAGAGTTTAACTAGTTAATGAATTTGGCTATTTTTATTAATTAAAATATTGGAGAATTATTTCTACCTTGTCTATGAGGTTAGAATTTAATTCAAGCCAACGATTTTGAACACATTAATGACACCTAGAAATAGGATAAATTAATGAAAATAGTTTGCATTCTTGTCTATGAGGAAAGAAATTATTAGTCCAATTTTAGTTTTAATTTCCCTAATTACTAGGTCCAAGAATATATCCATTTCTAATTACTCAATTCATTGCCCTTATTTGCATCAATCCATTTAAGTTTAATATTATATTTTTTCTTTAGTTTATTTTTGAGTCATCATTAGTATT